TATCGATGATCGTTTTTAGATCGAATCAATGAATTGTTAAACGAATTCAATCAATGGCACCAGCGTGACCAAGAAGAACAATAACGTCGTATCATTTTATTTTTAGATCATATGTTATTAATTTTATGCTTTATTGTAGTCCATGCATGTTGATATACTTATTCCATGATAATTATATGTTTATCCTTTTGTGTGATGTAAATTAAATGCTGAATGGCGGTTCATGCAGGGAAAGAACATATCAATATTCGCATATTCATTCAAAAACATGAAAATTCTTAATGGAGTACTCTCATTTCTTATTGAATTCCTAAAAAAAAATATTTATAATGAATTTTAATAATTTTTTTGGATTTTTTTTAAGCTTTATTTTGATCGATTCACCCGATTTCCGATCCGGATCGCCGATTCGTCGATCCGGATCGGTTTTTTGGAAGCCCGATCCGAGTCACCGATCCGTTTTTTAAACCATTGGTTATAACACATTATCTAGACTGTGCATTTTGTCTTAAAAACAAGTGTTTACATATTCACGACTAGGGGCGGCAATGGAACCGGTCTTGACCCGGGACCAGGTGGGTATTATAACACAGGTTGGGTATGGGTATAGCATTCGGACCCGACGGGTTGGGTCTGGGTCCAAACCTTAGACCCGAACAAGCGAACACTATACGGGTCCGCGTCCAGCTGGACCCTACCCATACCCAACCTGTACATGTAAACTGTTCGAATTAGCAGTCATCTTTAGCCATTAAACAACAAATCACACGGCTTGAAATATAATAGCGGGAGATTGTGACCTTGTTGCCAATAATACGGATATATGATGGTGAAAAAAGGGGTAAAAAAGAAGAAAAAATAGAAGCTCATAGTGAGGGTGACAATGGACCCGAGAGCCGATGGGGTAAACTCGAGACCCGACGTGTACGGGTATGGGTCTAATTTTTGGACCCGATAGGTCAATCGGGGTCTAAAACCTGGACCCGAATCTATTCGGGTCCGGGTACGGTTCCAGCCGAACCCAACCTGTTCCCACCCCTATCCACAATATCTATACATTTTTTGGGCTTCGAATTTCACCAAAATGTTTTTATGAACGAAGATTTGAGGTGAGTCTTGTACTTTGTTTTCATAAAAAAAAAAAAACCTAGGACTTGAGAAGAAGATTTTTACGAATTTGTTACTGTTCCAATACTTGATCACGTGCCTTTTTATTGATATTATGAAATTAATAAAACTATTAATAATGAGTTAAAAAGCTTGTTGAATGGGAGGATGGTGGGATTCTCCATGGGCGGATTGTCGTTAAGGAAAGATTCTCTGTATGACCCACTCTCTGGCTTTTTCTCTCGCTTACTTAAAATAGTAATCAACTTATTGGAGAAGCGAGATATCATGTGGGCATAGAGAGAGAGAGAGCGCTTGTGCCATGGATAACGTTAGGGAAGTGGAATCGGCTCCACATGAGGCCTTGTTCTTTTCTCTCAGGTATCTGAGCTTGCCGGATCTTCTTACCATTCAGAGGGTCTGCAAATCTTTCAGAGAAGCCATTAATGGCGATCCTCTGATTTGGAGGAGCATAAGAGTAGAAAACCCAATAAGCAGGAATCTCAGAGACGATTACTTGCTAAAGCTCACTGCCAAAGCACAGGGACAATTGACATCTTTGACCCTAGTAGGGTGCTGGAGAATCACAGAAGATGGGCTTTTGCAAGTGATAAGGAGTAATCCTTTTATAACCAAGGTCAGTGATTAAAACCCACTTTGGCTTTTGACTTGCACCTTGAAGTTTCTGTCTTTCTAGACTTGGTCTGTGAATCCAGTAATGTTTTTGATGGTGGGTCTTTCTCCTTTCATGTTATTATCTTTTAGTAGATAAGGAGTTCATTTTGTTATTATCTTATTCTGTTGTAGACAAGCTGAATTTCTTTTGGAATATTTGATTACTATGGATTGATGATTAAGAGTCGTTGTTGGGTAGTTTTCAAACGTTCTTTCTGTGGAAATTATGGAGAAATCTCCAACTCTTTGCTATGTTCATCTCTATGCTGGCCAGCTGATAAGCCGAATCTGATTCAATATTGTTGAAGAGCTGTGAGCTCAATGAACAAATGCCATAATTAAAATTGAATGAATATTGTTGAAGAGCTGTGAGCTTGATGAGCAAATTCCATAATTAAAAGTATTCTCATTTTTAGCTTTCTTCAGAACTGTTGAACCATTGTAGACATCGTTGTGGAGGAAGTGTGGATGGTTCAAAGTATTCATCTCTAGATTCTTCAAACTGGACCACTTGCTGGAATGAATGGTGCAGATACTCTGCAGCTGAGAGCAAAGTTTCAGGTAGTCGCTGCCCAGCTAGTATAAAGCAGTGGCTAAAATGGCCGCCCTTTATCATACTAACTTAATAGATGTGTGATCTAAGTTCCTATGTTGTCCCCATTGCCTCCTCCTTGAGAGGTAACACCTAAAACTCCTTATTCTCCGGTACATCTTTCTAGTGGGCTGTGACTCTTGTCAACTTCTTCTAGTTGGCTACAAGATATCTATCAATTTCAATGATTGATGGTGTCATTAGCTTGTCTGAGTTGGGACAAGCAAGATATAAGAAGTATAGGTAACAAAAAAAGGTATCAAGGATGCCTCAAGCACCCTGTGGACATTGGGTTGCAGTGAAAGATTACGGCTTATAAGGACCACAACAATTAGTGGTTTTCACAAAAGAATATCAAGGATGCCTCAATCGCACTGTGGACATGTGGACATTGCGTTGCAGTGAAATATTACAGCCTATGAGGACCACAACAATTAGGGCTTTTCACAAAAGATTGCAACAAATTGGTTTAGATGGAGCAAATAACTAGTTTGAGGTAGATGCTCAAGGGACTTCAAAAGAGGAAGTCTCGGCAGATCTTAGAAGGTTCAAAGCTAGGTCTTCCAGACTAAGGCTACTGTAGATTATGCCTTACAAAGGAGATAATGAAGATGTTGAATTATAGGGTGCTAGGCAACGCAAGAACTAGTGGAGTACACACTTAATTGTGGTACAAAAGTTTAAGCAATTGCATCAGTTGCAGTAAGGCTTGGTGTCATTTTTAGTGTCTAAAAGAATGGTGGGATGACAATGAATTGGTCCACGACAGAAACAAGACTACATGGTTCAAGGAATTTAGTACATATAAAGACATGCAATGTAATACTTGTATGTCTTTTAAAAAAATGTTACAAGTTGCAGCCGGAAACCAAATAATCACATGGCAACATTGGTCCATAAGTCAATCAACAAACTTGTTGAGCTAGGTGAAGTTTGAGGCCAACCTTGGGAGAGTGTGACTCTTACTGCCATGAGCTGCATATTAGTAATGAGTAGAGCAAAGGCATGTTGGTACACTTTGGACAAACAAAGCCCGACTTCCGATAAAATTGAAATACTCTAACTTGCATTATCAGCAAGTTAAGAAACTGTTCGTATTTTATATTTTCGCAGCACTAGTTTTTGGATAAAGACAGGTGGTCCCTCATTTGGGCAGTAATCTAATTATGGATTAGAATGGTGTTTTTCTTTTTTGGTGGATTTCATACTTTCGGATTAACGTATCAAATCACGAATATGAAAGGGCGGACAGCTCAGATTGGTTACGAGGGATTAAAGGTTTACCCCTTTGGTTACCCCTAGGATGTCATATGGTTGTAAGAAAAATGAGGTAAATAATTATGGCAGCAAGGAACTGCAATTGTTTGAGTCTTTTGAGCTACACGTCATGTCTACTATATTCTCTCTTCTTGGTCCTCTCCTGCCTCAGTATATAAGGTTTTCTATGTTGTTATACATTCTAGATAATCCAATGTCAGACCCGCATCTCAAGGTTCCTATATTTACTGTTGATCCCAAATATTCCTGACAGGATGACTTTAAAGGTTTCAAGTTACTTTATACTATTTTTATTTTATGGGTTGAAAGTTTCTCAGCATGATGGGTAATTTCTGCACTTTTTATCATGATTGATTGCCTGCCCCATGACTAGCATCAAATAATTGCGGTAGAGACCCAATGTAATAGTTACACTTGTGAGCCGCCATTGTTGCAGCTCTATACTCAATTTTCGCAGAGAAAAGCACCATGGTTGACTGCTTATTGTTACATTTAAAGATGGCTCCAAGAAAGTGCTGATGTGTACCCTGACATAAATCACCATACATTTGGTTTGCCAACATTGCATGTAGATGTTAAAACACATTGATATCCTCTGCTCAAATGCGATATTGTAGTTCCATGTGCATGCATAATAATGATCCAAAATGCTAAGATACAAGCATTGATACGGACACTGATGAGGAAAATGGGGATATGGCTTAACATTTGTGAAAATCCGGGATATAGATACAGACTGGAGTATCTTATATAACAACTTGATAAATATATCATATAGCTCATATAGTACATAAATTTATTCATCTAAGCACACTCATGCATATGCATAACATATCGTATGTATAATATTATAATTTTTTTCATTTTACAATTGCTACATCTATGACATTTTACACTAACAAGCATCTGGTATCAGTCTCTGTGTCAACATGGAGCGACAACAACGTGTTCAAGCATATACAAGTATCTGTGCATCATGGATAGAGTATTCTTCTCATGAATCTTCAGAAAATAGTTGACCACACACCTTGTATGCTGTTTCTAAGATGCACGATAGTCATGTACGTTAAGCTTTTAATGAGCAACAAATACATGGTTGTGCCCTTCAGATTCCAGTCCCTTCTTAGCCTCCAATTGCTGGTTTTATTTCTCTAGTGCAGAGATTGGCTTTAACTCTAGCATCTAGAAGCTCTTGATAGGTTTGCAAAATTTTGCCTTGTAACAAGAACTTCCCATGGCTGCCTTCTCAACTCTGAATCATGAAAGTACAAAGTTTCCTGAGATTATTCATCTTGAAGTGGGTGGAGAGTTGTTGAACTTGTTTGACATTTATATACAATTGTTATAATTTTGGCCGTTACGTCATCTTGATTTAGCACCGAATCATTCTGTGTTTTTACTTATGAATTCCCACAAGCAGATTCGATTTTTCCATTGACAACCCTATACTTGCAAAACTCAAGGTACTCATTTTGTCGCGCTGGAATGCCTTGCTCAGGGAGTATTTGCTTCAGGTTATGGTTGATTTACAAATGGCTGGAGTTTCACCATGCAAATCCACTGGTCTAATTGTACAAATAGTAAGGCATTTGTTGGTTTATATCTGCCACAGTTGATTTGGCTAACACGAGATTAAAAGGACTGCCTAAAAGTTTGATGTCATCTTCATAATAGGGCTGATATTCTCCTTGTAACAGCCTAAGTTGCTTCAGAAAACCTTGAACGACCAAACATGCCTGGTCTACATGTCATTGGCCTTCCATTTCATGTTGTTCATCCGCCTGCATCGCACATTCTTTGGACAAGGAAATGAGTCTCATTATTCTACAAAGGAGTGGCCTCTTACTTTTTGCGATTCCCATTTGTTCCCCTTTGCTTTCTAATATAATGAGGTTCCTCGATGTTCTTCGGGACTAGCTAGAGGCAATAAAATACCGCAAGCTCACGGATAGTTTGGTACCATAGAAGCAGTTACTAGCTTTTGCATCCTTGCTATCGCCTAGGATTACCTTGGCATCCTATTCTCTTAAAATTAAGGTGTCCAACAGTGTCCTGATATGGCCCAAACATAAACAAGGAGCTGATTGTGGTTTAACTGGCGAGAGATCCTTCAAATAGGAGCTTATAATGCTGCCTGATGCATATACAGTCTTTGATGGATGATAGGAACTCATTTACAGTCTTCGATTGGTGTGGGGCAAGTAGTGTTTTAATTGCTTCTGAATAATGAATTTTGAAAAGCATCTACTATGCATTTGATATTGGGCATAGCTTCATATAAGCTGACATCATGGGGCACATAAAGGGTACACATTACATTTCCAATTCATAAATGGTCTGTACATCATGGGGCACATAAATGGTCACCATAGCAAAATACTTCCATTTAGTCGTAAGTTCAATTTTTCTCCTTTCATTCAAGGAAATATGGCCTAAAGAATGGACCGAAAGTTATGCAGGTCTTCATGGGAACGCGGTTTATCCGAAGTTTTGGAAGAGAATGCTCACTTCAAATATCTCACCTTGAAGGACTTGGTTGCATCTGATTTAGCAAGAATAGTATTAGAAGTTGCATTGGTCCAAAGCATAAACTAGGCGATAAATGAGAGAGAGTAGACTTAGGTGGGCTGTCCATGTGTGGCGCCGGCCAAGTATAACACCTCTTAGGAGGTACGAGTTAGTTCAAGTGGAAGGAGTGAATAGGGCAAGGGGTAGGCCCAAAAGGATGTGGTTGGAAGTAGTCCAAAAAGATAGGGTACTTATGACCTCATTGGGGATATGACCTTTAATAGAGCAGAATGGGGAACTAGGATTCATGTAGCCGACCCCAATTAATTAGGAAAAGGCTAAAATGATGATGATTCGTTAACTAAACTTGCTTAAGCATATGCTAGTTCTTGGATCGTAGACAAGAAATTGTGTATAATGATGTTCACTTGAAGGTAGTCCCTTATTTCATGGCAGGTGCATATTCCTCCATTGTCAGAGTGCTGTTGCTGTTATGATTCTTGTTGAATTACTACACTATTATTTATTAAAAGTTCTGGAAATTTTCAATTTTTTATTTCTTATGCCAATGTAATCATTAGTAT